CTCTTTAATTAATGGAATGTGGCACGGCCATTATAGGCTCTTTAATTAATGGAATGTGGCACGTGGTAGGGTGAGATACTGTTGTATAGAATGTGCCGTTGCTGCCGCTGCCACTACTGTGACCACCTGTGGTATCGTAATTGATGGACATGATGTTTGGTTAAACTGAATACAAACTATGTGTATTACGACTATCATGGCTCCCTCTCTTTAATACTGGAAAAAATGCCACCATGTTTAGAAGCTAGTAGAAAGCTCCATATGTCTAAATGACGCAATACCTTACGTATGACGCAGAGGTAAGTAATGTCATTTCTTACGTAATATTGTTCGATAATCCACTGATGAAAATCCTATCTAATTATCCAAATCATTGAAAAAGTATTATCCGATTAGATGCAACGTTTTTCCTATTGCTATTGTAAATCTAAGACACCTATATCTCAGACAAAAAACAGTATTCATTTTTACCTAAATATGTGGTCATTCAATAAAACTCATTAAAGGTTGACGATAAAACTATATAAACTTTAAAGAAACAAAATTACAGATTCAAATATGATAAAAAAATCGAACTTTTTTTTCTCTCTTATTTGGTATTTGAAATTTACTCCAAAATGGCTCACATTTCTATCTTTTATTTGCCAGATCAAGGTTTATTAAAATGTAGCTTCATGGACTGTTCAGTACAGACCGACATGTTTCTTGTTTTCTTACCATATACCATCAGCTCCCCCTCTCCCATTATTGTCTGGAAAGATGGAGCTTCTGCCGAGGCTTCACATCTGTACTTTCCTTCTGTTTCCAAGTTAGAAGTTGAGAAGAAGACATGGCCTTCGGATGACTTGGAACGCTGTATCAAACATTATTTTAGTTACTAAAAATCTTCCATTCGATCACAAGATTATAACTTCCTTAGTTACCAAAAACTTCCATTCGATCACAAGATTATAACTTCCTTAGTTACTAAAAAACTTCCATTCGATCACAAGATTATAACTTCCTTAGTTACTAAAAAACTTCCATTCGATCACAAGATTATAACTTCCTTAGTTACTAAAAA